ACAAACTGCAAGTAACAATTTTGCAGATAATCACCCCTCAAAGAAGGTTCCCTCATGCCAGTGAGAAGCTTTTCACCTAAGGAATCGGACCTGCCTTCCCCTTCCTTGAACTGAACCTGAATGTCTTCCATTCTCCCAGGAACTGCATGACCCCTACGAGTTTAGCACACCCCTATGAATAATAATAATAATCTAGATGGTCACTCTGCCTTGGCAAGAGATGGCCACCAAATTAAAAAAAAATAATGTAGATGATCGTGCCATCGGACAAAGAATCTAGACCGAGACTGTGCTAGAGATGCAGTGATCCCCTGAATTATTAACAGAGAAACTGCATTAATTTTATATGGGAGGTGTTAAGATGGTGACATGAAGAAAAGTGGATTTAACCCTTAAACGGTCCAAACTTATATATACATTCACTGGCACAGCGCCTCGAATATTTAAAAAAAAAAATTGTTTTATTTTTATAGAAAAAAAAAAGACCACCTTTTTCTAAGTGTTATAGAATAAAAAAAAATTTTAGGGTCAGTACTTACCGAGATATGAGGCCGAGAAGTTGGCACTGGATGCTCATGTGACAGCAACATTGAGCCCTGCCGCTTGCAGAAGTGTTGCCCATATACCTTTTTTTTTATTTTTCATATTATTTTATGTAATTTTTATGTTCTGATAATTACAATTTGTAGTAGTTCTTGTCATTTTATAACCAATCTTTGCTCTGACACTAGTATTAGGTACTGAAATTGTCACAAGCACACTGACAGGTGGACATTTATACCTGCCTTGGTCATTTACTATTGTCTTGGAATATATACAAAGTATTTATAGGTCCCAGCAATGTTTTGGATATGTTGAAGTATATGACGAGGAGGAGGAGGAGGAGGAGGAGGAGGAGGAGGAGGGGAGGAGGAGGAGGAGGAGGGAGGAGGGAGGAGGAGGAGGAGGAGGGGAGGAGGAGGAGGAGGAGGAGGGAGGAGGGAGGAGGAGGAGGGAGGAGGAGGAGGAGGGAGGAGGAGGAGGAGGGAGGGGAGGGAGGAGGAGGAGGAGGAGGAGGAGGAGGAGGGAGGAGGAGAGGAGGGAGAGGAGGAGGAGGAGGAGGAGGAGGAGGAGGAGGAGGAGGGAGGAGGAGAGGTGGAGGAGGAGGAGTAGGAGGAGGGTGGAGTTGAGGGGGAGGAGGAGGGGGTGAGGAGGAGGGGAGGGAGGAGGAGGAGGGAGTGGAGGAGGAGGAGGAGGAGGAGGAGGAGGATGGTGGGGAGGAGGAGGAGGAGGAGGCGAGGGAGGAGGAGGGGAGGAGGAGGAGTGAGGAGGAGGAGGGAGGAGGAGGAGGAGGGTGAGGAGGAGGAGGGGAGGAGGGAGGAGGCAGGAGGAGTGGTGAGGAGGAGGAGGGATTGGAGGCGTAGGAGACGCGTTTAGGAGGAGGCGGTTAGGAGCGATTGGGAGGATCGGAGTCTGGAGGAGGTGGTTTAGGGGATTAGGTCGTGAGGGGGGAGGTTAGAAGGTTGTGATTGGAGAGGAGGATCGATTCGGGGGTTGGAGGAGGTCAGGGGATTAGGGGAGGAGGATCAGGGGATTACTGGATAGGAAGGCGTGAGGATTGAGGGAGTAGGACTTGGAGGAGAGGTGTTAGAGGAGAGGATTGTGAGGGATTATTTTGAAGTGGGACTTTTGGGGTTTTTTCCCTTCCTTTTTTTTTTACTTCTTTTCTTTTCTTTTTCTTCTTCCTTTTTTTGCTTCTTTTCTTCTTCTTTTCGTCTTCTTTTTTTTCTTCTCTTTTTTCTTTCTTCTCTTCTTCTTTCTTCTTTTTTTCCCTTTTCCCCCTTTTCAACTTCTTTCTTCTTTTTCTTCCCTTTTCAACTTCTTCTTCTTCAACTCTTCAACTTCGTCTTGCACCTTCTCAACTCCTTCTCACCTGCTTCAACGCTTGGCTACTTCTCTTCTTCTTCAACTCCTTCCTCTTTTCAACTTGTTTTCTTCAACTTCTTTCAACTTCGGGGACCTTCTTGAACTTCTCTGCTGTCACCTGCGGGAAGTTTGACTTCGTCTCTTGAACCTTGGCCTTTGAACGTGCTTCGTTCGTCACTTAGGTGATGTGGGAAGGATGTAGTAAGGAAGAAGCGGGGGGGGGGGGGCAAGAGTGTGCAACTTGGTTCTGAGGACGGTTGGGTTGGGTAGTCGCGGATGTGGGAGAGCAGCAGGAGGGACGACCAGCAGGACCCACGACCACGGACCGCCACAGCACCCGAGACTTACTGTAAGTACGGACCTCCCGCGGGGAGGAGGACCGGACAGGGCCGGAGGAGAGCAGCGGCCAGAGGATAAGGAGGGAGGAGGGAAGGGGGGGAGGAGGAGGAGGAGAAAGGAGGGGACAGAAGGAGAGGGACGACCGGAGGAAGGGACTAAGGAGCCAAGGACCCTTACAGGATAGCGGGGGCATTAGGACGGACCCGGATTGGTAGTCTAGTTATGGGGGTGATCATATTCTTGGGTGAGTAGCCTCTATCAGCATGGGGAAGTGGAACAGATTCAGAGCCGAGGCCATGCGGGATTAGGAGGAGGCGACTAAATGCCGGGAGGATAGGGGCTAGTACCGCGTCTCCTGAAAGAGAGAAATGGTAAAAGGAAAAGAGGATTAGAGGAGGAGGGAAAGGGGGTGAGGATTAGGAGGAGGAGTTTTAATTAGGAGGAGGAGGAAAGGAGGATTAGAAGGGAGGAGAATTAGGAGAGGAGGATGTTTGGAGGAGGAGAGGAGGAGGAGGAGGAGGAGGAGGGGAGATGTATAACTAATACAAATATAATAATAAAAAAAAACTAATAAATAACTTAGGAAAATTGACAGCAACCACCCGGGACGGCACCGTCCTGCAATAAGTGTGCAACTAAAGCCTGTAATTGATTTCCCGTGATGGTAGGATTGCTGGTGTCCATGTTTTCTGTCTCATAAACATGTAAGATTTCAGGTACGTCTTGTACTTCTACTTACACCTAGGTCACACTACACATACATGTACAAGCACATATATACACACCCCTCTGGGTTTTCTTCTATTTTCTTTCTAGTTCTTATTCTTGTTTATTTCCTCTTATCTCCATGGGGAAGTGGAACAGAATTCTTCCTCCGTAAGCCATGCGTGTTGTAAGAGGCGACTAAAATGCCGGGAGCAAGGGGCTAGTAACCGCTTCTCCTGTATATATTACTAAATGTAAAAGGAGAAACTTTCGGTTTTCCTTTAGGGCCACCCCACCTCGTTGGGATACAGCCGGTGTGTTGAAAGAAAGAATAATAATACATAATAATAATAATAATAATAATATGTAATAATAATAATAATACATAATAATAATAATACATAATAATAATAATACATAATAATAATAATACATAATAATAATAATACATAATAATAATAATACATAATAATAATAATAATAATAATATGTAATAATATGTTCCCTTGAAGCATGAAAAACAAAGTCCACCCCTGACAGTGACATGATAAGAGGAGATAACATCTGATAAGAGCTGATGTTTGATGAGCATAAAGGAGGGTGGGGGAGGGTGCAGCTGATAAGAAAAGATTAGATGACCATCCCCCCTGGCTTTGTTTTTGCTGGTACACAAACATTTCTGTCTCTCTATCTGTCTGTCTGTCAAGCTCCCTGTCTATATGTCTATCCGTCCAGCTCTCTGTCTCAGAGAGAGCCACAAGACTGCATCATCACATTTACTCACATCTTCAAGCAGAGAATAGCACTTTGTCTGGATTTTTGGGTTATCCTAGGTAATTTATACTACATATACTTGTATTTATGTGTACCTGTGTGACAGAGATAGACAAAGACAGATTGAAAGAGATAGACAGAGATAGATAGACAAAGCCAGAGACAGATAGAAAGACACATATAGAGATAGAGACAGAGACAGATATACAGACAGAGACAGATATACAGACAGACACAGAGACAGATAGATAGACAAAGACAGAGACAGACAGAGACAGAGACAGAGACAGATAGACAAAGACAGAGACAGACTGACAGAGACAGATAGACAGAGACATATAGAGACAGATAGACAGAGATAGACAAAGACAGACAGACAGATCGACAGACCCTAAACTTGGGGTTAACATCACTTTCCTCTTAAAAGAGAAGTGTTAATATGACATTACGCCAGTGACTCCTTGGTGTTTGCCGCACTGTTTGCTCTAGCTGATGCTCAATTTAACTGGTGCTCCCACAAGATACTTAGTGGTCCCAGATTTTTTTAATACTGTGCACACCGAGTGTTAAGACCAATTCTATGCTGACCAAGCATCTCAGGCCAATGGTGCCAAATTTGGAGGCAGGAAAAATAAATCGTATATATACGTTTGGGGCGCCACGCTAGTGAACATATATATATATATACGTTTGGACCGTTTAAGGGTTTAAGAACATCACAAAATATTGTGCTTCAGTGGGAGATGGCCAGTGTGTTAAAAAATAAAAAAAATGAAAACAATAATAAATTAAAAGTGTATGCCCTTCAAGGAAGGTTCCTTGATACCACAGAACTGCACTTCTTCCCTCCCTAAGAACAAACCTGATTTTCCCCATTTCCCAGGTGTTTATGACCTCTATGGGTTTAACACTCTCCCCTTAAAAATGTAATAATAATGAGGGCATACATGAAGGCAACTACAGCAACAGAAACCAACAGATCATAAAGCATACCAGTGAAACTTTCACTTGTGGTTTTTACTAGAAGATGAATCTCAAAAGGAAATAAGACATCGTAAGAAAGAAAAGTATAAACATCTCTTAATACAAAGTAAAACATTATAGATGACAATAAAGTTAAGATGTGAAAAATAAGTTAGGAGTAATGTACAAAGCTTTTAGCTGAATAAAGTGGCACACTTTACCTTCATTAACTTTTCCATCATCATCATTTTCCTTAGGAGTTCCAACAATTTTTGTTCCTGTCTCAAGATCTTCAAAGTCTCCATAGAGGTCTTCATCATCCATCTTTAGGAGAGTTTCAGCATCCTTATCATCACTCCACTGTCCAGTTACAAAACAGTTGCGAATACTGTTCTGAAGCTGGATAAACAAAAATGTAAACACCTCATTAATGTGGCATTTACCTCTATTTAGTATTTTGCTGTAAATAATTGTAGAAGGTGGCTACACACTAGGTTTTCAATGTAGATGAAACTGTTCTTTTTATTTTTTTTTTATTATCACACTGGCCGATTCCCACCAAGGCAGGGTGGCCCGAAAAAGAAAAACTTTCACCATCATTCACTCCATCACTGTCTTGCCAGAAGGGTGCTTTACACTACAGTTTTTAAACTGCAACATTAACACCCCTCCTTCAGAGTGCAGGCACTGTACTTCCCATCTCCAGGACTCAAGTCCGGCCTGCCGGTTTCCCTGAACCCCTTCATAAATGTTACTTTGCTCACACTCCAACAGCACGTCAAGTATTAAAAACCATTTGTCTCCATTCACTCCTATCAAACATGCTCACGCATGCCTGCTGGAAGTCCAAGCCCCTCGCACACAAAACCTCCTTTACCCCCTCCCTCCAACCTTTCCTAGGCCGACCCCTACCCCGCCTTCCTTCCACTACAGACTGATACACTCTTGAAGTTATTCTGTTTCGCTCCATTCTCTCTACATGTCCGAACCACCTCAACAACCCTTCTTCAGCCCTCTGGACAACAGTTTTGGTAATCCTGCACCTCATCCTAACTTCCAAACTACGAATTCTCTGCATTATATTCACACCACACATTGCTCTCAGACATGACATCTCCACTGCCTCCAGCCTTCTCCTCGCTGCAACATTCATCACCCATGCTTCACACCCATATAAGAGCGTTGGTAAAACTATACTCTCATACATTCCCCTCTTTGCCTCCAAGGACAAAGTTCTTTGTCTCCACAGACTCCTAAGTGCACCACTCACCCTTTTCCCCTCATCAATTCTATGATTCACCTCATCTTTCATAGACCCATCCGCTGACACGTCCACTCCCAAATATCTGAATACATTCACCTCCTCCATACTCTCTCCCTCCAATCTGATAACCAATCTTTCATCACCTAATCTTTTTGTTATCCTCATAACCTTACTCTTTCCTGTATTCACTTTCAATTTTCTTCTTTTGCACACCCTACCAAATTCATCCACCAATCTCTGCAACTTCTCTTCAGAATCTCCCAAGAGCACAGTGTCATCAGCAAAGAGCAACTGTGACAACTCCCACTTTATGTGTGATTCTTTATCTTTTAACTCCACGCCTCTTGCCAAGACCCTCGCATTTACTTCTCTTACAACCCCATCTATAAATATATTAAACAACCACGGTGATATCACACATCCTTGTCTAAGGCCTACTTTTACTGGGAAATAATTTCCCTCTTTCCTACATACTCTAACTTGAGCCTCACTATCCTCGTAAAAACTCTTCACTGCTTTCAGTAACCTACCTCCTACACCATACACCTGCAACATCTGCCACATTGCCCCCCTATCCACCCTGTCATACGCCTTTTCCAAATCCATAAATGCCACAAAGACCTCTTTAGCCTTATCTAAATACTGTTCACTTATATGTTTCACTGTAAACACCTGGTCCACACACCCCCTACCTTTCCTAAAGCGTCCTTGTTCATCTGCTATCCTATTCTCCGTCTTACTCTTAATTCTTTCAATAATAACTCTACCATACACTTTGCCAGGTATACTCAACAGACTTATCCCCCTATAATTTTGCACTCTCTTTTATCCTCTTTGCCTTTATACAAAGGAACTATGCATGCTCTCTGCCAATCCCTAGGTACCTTACCCTCTTCCATACATTTATTAAATAATTGCACCAACCACTCCAAAACTATATCCCCACCTGCTTTTAACATTTCTATCTTTATCCCATCAATCCCGGCTGCCTTACCCCCTTTCATTTTACCTGCTGCCTCACGAACTTCCCCCACACTCACAACTGGCTCTTCCTCACTCCTACAAGATGTTGTTCCTCCTTGCCCTATACACGAAATCACAGCTTCCCTATCTTCATCAACATTTAACAATTCCTCAAAATATTCCCTCCATCTTCCCAATACCTCTAACTCTCCATTTAATAACTCTCCTCTCCTATTTTTAACTGACAAATCCATTTGTTCTCTAGGCTTTCTTAACTTGTTAATCTCACTCCAAAACTTTTTCTTATTTTCAACAAAATTTGTTGATAACATCTCACCCACTCTCTCATTTGCTCTCTTTTTACATTGCTTCACCACTCTCTTAACCTCTCTCTTTTTCTCCATATACTCTTCCCTCCTTGCATCACTTCTACTTTGTAAAAACTTCTCATATGCTAACTTTTTCTCCCTTACTACTCTCTGTTTATTTACATTTTTTCTGCAAATCTGGAAATGCCATTGTTTTACTGTCCATACAAATACCTAATTCTATCTTACGTTTTTATGGAAGAGAATCAAAAAAGAATTCTATGTAACTTACAGTATTATTTTCCATCATTAAATATTTCTGGCCTCTTTACTGTTAATTACCCAACTACACTGCATTTAAAAATATGAGAGATATTTCAATGATATTAGATGAAGGGTTAAGTTAACTCTTTCATTGTCCGAAAGAATAAAAACAATCCTTACTGCAAAGACAAGAACACATTAACATACATTACCTCCTCTACACTCCAGTTTCTAAGAACAGGAGGGATGTAACGGCTAGTGTCTACAGCATCTGAGACTGCACGAGAAGTAGGCCCGCTAGTGTTGGATTTTGGCACTGTAGGTCGTTTAAAGAGTCCACCAACTTCTTCAACTGCTTCATCAGAGCCTTTTTCATCATCACTGACTATAAGGAAAGATGCAATGAGATTGTGTGTAGTAAATTTATATCAAAAGTTAAGACTACTGTACATGGATAAAATAATAACTGCATGGTTATTCTAAGCCTACCAATAGGTAAATGACCTAGGGCACATTAAAAAAGCATATAGCAAATATTACATCTATTCATATTAATACAATACACATAATGTAACACTATATACAAAGTTTGATACGATCCTAGGGAGTATTTCATCTTATTTTTTTAAATAAATTTTCTTCACTGCCTTTACACATTTAGGCATGAAACAAACACTGACTTTGCTACCAATAAAAAATAAATGGCATGAATGTATATGACTCAATATTTACCTTCACCATAAATGTATTTCCTTAAATAAGACACTGTACTTTGATTCTTGTAAAAATTCTCTGTTGCTTGTTTTAACATCTCACTACGGTATTCTAATTTGTCATTCTCTTCTTCACTGTCTGAATCATCTGAATCATTATCAACTGTCTCAGGATTTTTAGGTGGCTTAACATTTAATCCATTATCTTGAAGTAAACCATCAGAACCCTCTATTTCATCCTTGCAATCATCTATTAAATCATCACTATCATTTTCCTCATTACTGAAGCCACTATCATCACTTATGGCTTTTTGCTTTGGGTTTTGACCTGATTTGTTTATTTTTTCTAACAGTCCTTGAATCTTTGCAGTTACATCAGAATCCTTGTTAGATTTTATACCAGGAATTTGCTGCTTTGACCCTGAGCCTTTCCTCACTTGTGTCATATGTGAGTCAACACGACTTTTTATGTTTCCATCAATACTTTGTAAAGCGTTGACATCTTGCAAGTCTCCATCCAAATCATAATCATCTGAATCACTATCCTGGCCATAATCTTGGTTTCTCTTCTTATGAGATAAACCATTCTGAAAGAAATAAGAGAATTCTAATTTAGGCAAAAACTTTAATGATGCAGAGAGGCAAGAATGCCATCCTAAGGTCAGCTTTTTTAAAAACAGTGATTATGTATGAGTGAGGTGAAAGTGTTGAATGATGATGAAAGTAATTTCTTTTTGGGGATTTTCTTTCTTTCTGGGTCACCCTGCCTCAGTGGGAAACAGCTAACTTGTTAAAAAAAAAAAAAACCACAAACAATTACTACTGTACAAAATATACAGGTACATAACTGAGGATGTGAGAATGTTACAGTTTGGAGGGTCATCTGAACTGTGATGTCAGCACACTTGTTAAGACAGTAACTGAATAAATAACGATCAATGTTTTTCTTAAGTTTTGGGGGTCACCTCACCTCAGTGGAGAAGCCTGGTGTGTTATAAGATTTTTTTTTTTTTTTTTACCTCAGTGGCCATCTCTTGCCAAGGCATGGTGATCTAAAGAAGGTAACACATTCACCATTACTCATTCAGTCTGTCTTGCCAGAAATGTGCTGACAAGGGAACACAATTCAACTGACCATTTTAATTGCACAAATAGTGTGCCTGCTCAACCTCTATCTCAACCATGATCAATTACATTAGTGTGAGCCATAATTCATCTTGTTTAAACTTTTGGTAGCAGAGGTAAGAAAAGAAAATACTGTGACAAATTTGTTACAAAAGCTAGAATTAAGCAAGGGCCAAGTGTGTTGGATAGAATAATTAACTAGGGAGAATATGTAGTAACAAGTCAGTGATGAATGAAATGGGACCCATATCCTATATGACAATCCTCTGGGTGTCAAGACCCCTGCTCGCAAACTTGCTCATGGTGTTGAAGAATTTAAAAAAAAAAAAAAACTTATGAAATGATAGAGAATCTTTTTCCAAAGGTAATGATACCAAAAGTATGAAATTTGATGACAAACTTACAGAATTACACTTGCAAAGTTAGTGGTCTTGGTGATATTTATGCATCAGCGATTTCACCCAATTTGAGCCCTATTTTGGGCCAATTCCTTTGCTCCACTGGACCAAACTCATAGCTATTTCGTGAGAACTCTTTTTATTCTAGCGATTGAGTACAAGAAATCGGCCATTTACCTATTTCAACTACCTCAAAAAAAAGTGATCAGAAATGAATAATTTGGCTAATTTCACAGAAAATTCAATTAAGACCAATTTCAAAATAGAGGCCAGAATAAACAATGCAGACATTTCTGGCACTAAAATAACATGTCCTCTGTTCATTAGTCATGTCTCCAGGCCCTTCTTATATTACCCTTGCTCTCATTTTGAATTTTTATTCACACAAAAAATAGATTTACTGTTATTAAGATTATTGCATAACTGTATAAATAATATCAGCACATTAGTGAATGCACATTCGACCCACCAGTTGACATGTATTGGACGTGTGACGTGATTTGTTTACTCTTGAACATCGTCAAAAATCGAACATTTGTTACTTTGAGCCCACCTTCAAGCTACTTTTAGTCTGTAAACCATTCAAAATCACTTTCATTTTTTTAATATATCTCCCATTCTGGCAAATGAGACCAAGAAAATGAGAATACAATCCTAATTGCCATACGAAAATGCACCACAAAGTCTTTTTCTCTTTTTATGCACTGTGTACTGCAGGATTTATTTTTATACTGCACACACTGACCACTCAGATCCATTCTTTCACATGTAGGCCTACCAGCTTTCTCTCGCAAGAATGGAAACTGCTAGAATTTTGGTGTAGTATTACGGGACTGACACTGGCTTCAAAGCTGTAATATTATGGGACTGACAATGAAAAGGTTAAGTAATATGTATTTTTAGTGAAATCTAATGAGAAAATTAAGTCTGGTTTCAGTATGAAAAAATAATACTAAAAAATTATTATGAACACCACAGTCTCCCTAATGGATATATGCCAGTGAAGTCAGTGTTACAGCTCCCTCAAATATGCTGTGAGCGGTAAATTTTGGCTTAGACATGAGAGAATGGGTCTGTGCAGTGAGGTGCACAATATAGAAAAAGATCTTGCCCCATGTAGTGAGTGTTAGGAAAAGCAAACCACTGATCTTGCTTTTGGTTTAAAACAGCAACTTTGAGCTGTTTTCTAAGGCCATTTTTATGGTTTTTATTGGATGTTTCTTGGTATCTAGTAGAACAGAGATGATTTTGGTCAGTGTCAGACTGGAAATAGCTTGAAGTGGAAATATTTGATTTTGGGGGATTTTCCTGAGGAAAGGTAGGTGGCCCAGTCTCAAAAAGTAGCAAATCATATACTAACCTTGAATTTTTTTCTAAGGGGACCTATTGCATGATCATCCTCTTCTTCATTTTCTGTTTCATCATCATCATCATCTTCTACATCCTCATCTTCTACATCCTCATCCTCATCATCATCCTCACTGCCTGATTCATCACCATTTTCCGCATCCTCCAAGTTATCAGAGAAAATAGCTCGTCTTCTGACCCTGCCAGTGTTGTCAGTCACTGTTTCATATGGTGGAAGCCCATTTCCTGATTTCCTGAGGAAATGTGAAAAAAATGAGCTGAAATGACATAAGAAATATGCTGCATGCACATACCATTCAGAAAAAAAAATAGTCCCTGAAACCATCAAAAGGTAAACTACAAAGGAAAGATTGCTCTCAAGAGTTCATCAGAGTGGGAACACTTTAACCCTTTCAGTGTAGGTACTGTGTTGCATACAATGCGTGGATATATGTACATTGTACATTACATGGGTCTCACTGATGTTGCTGTCAGAGGGTCATCGACTTTTAATTTTACACCTTTACATCTCGACAAGTATTGAAAGAATTTCGTTTTTGTTTTATTACCACCAGAAAGATGTACTCTTTAAATTTATAAGAAAATTTTTTTTTTTCCAAATGTGAACACCAAGAGCACTTTTAATTTTGGGGTCACATTAGTAAGCACTTTGATTAAATATTACTATGACAGTAATCTTGTTCCTCTTTCAACAAACCGACCATATCACACTAAGGCAGGGTGGCCCAAAAAGAAAAACTAAAGTCTATCTATTTAACTTTAATAATGTATACAGGAAAAGGGGTTATTAGCCCTTTGCTCCCGACATGTCAGTTGCCTCTTACGACACGCATGGCTTACGGATGAAGAATTCTTTTCCACTTCCCCATGGAGATAAGAGGAAATAAACAAGAACAAGAACTAGTAACAAAATAAAAGAAAACCCAGAGGGGTGTGTGCACATATATGCTTGTACATGCAAGTGAAGTGTAACGTAAGTGTAAGTATAAGTAGCAAGACGTACCTGAAAACTTACATGTTTATGAGACAGAAAAATAGACACCAGCAATCCTACTATCATGTAAAACAATTACAGGCTTCTGTTTTACACTCATCTGGCAGGACTGTAGTACCTCCTTGGCAGTTGCTGTCTACCAACCAACTACCTATAATGACAGTAATTTTTTTTTTCAACAAACCGGCTGTATCCCACCAAGACAGGGTGGCCCAAAAAGAAAAATGAAAGTTTCTCTTTTCATATTTAGTAATTTACATAGGAGAAGGGGTTATTAGTCCCTTGCTCCCGGCATTTTAGTTGCCTTTTACAACATGCATGGCTTACAGAGGAAGAATTCTGTTCCACTTCCCCATGGAGGTAAGAGGAAATAAACAAGAATAATAACTAGAAAGAAAATAGAAGAAAACCCAGAGGGGTGTGTATATATATGCTTGTACATGTATGTGTAGTGTGACCTAAGTGTAAGTAGAAGTAGCAAGATGTACCTGTAATCTTATATATTTATGAGACAGACAAAGACACCAGCAACCCTACCATCATGTAAAACAATTACAGGCTTCTGTTTTACACTCATTTGGCAGGACGGTAGTACAGTGGAACCTCAAAAATCGAACTTAATCCGTTCCAGGAGCTAGTTCTAAATTCGAAAAGTCTGAAATTCAAAGCAATATTTCCCATAAGAAATAATGAAAATACAATTAATCCATTCCAGAAACCTAAAAAATATTCACACAAAAAATACATTTTATAGAGATTAATTACAGTTTTACATACAACAAATACTATAGTTTTTAATTATGTATAGTAATATATATAAAATAACATTTTTACTTACCTTTATTGAAGATTGGTGATGGCATCTGGAAGATAGGGAGGAGGAGAGAGAGAGCTGGGGTTAGTGTTTGGAAGGAGAATCCCCCTCCATGAGGACTTCAGGTAAAGCCCTCTCTGGGGTTACTTCCCTCCTCTGTCTTTTAATGCCACTAGGACCAGCTTGAGAGTCACTGGACCCCTGTCTCATAAAATAACTGTCCACAGTCCTCTGTTTCTGGTACCTCTTTAACATTTCCCTAAAATGGGACATGGTTCTGTCACTGAGCTTGTTGCAAAGATGGCTTGTTTCAGCTTGCTCAGGGTGGTACTTCTGCACAAACATTTGGACATCATTCCACTTGGCACAAATCTCCTTAATCTTTGAAGAAGGCATCTCATCCACTCCCTATATTAACACCTTTCGCAACATCAGCTTCCTTGATTTGTTCTTTCTCTGACAGGATAGAACCGATGGTCAACTTGTTTTTCCCATACATCCTGGCAAGCTCAATAAATCTCACACCACTCTCATACTTCTGTATTACAGGTCTCCCTCAACATTTGTGTTTTCAACTTTTGCGGGCTTCACACATTTGCGAATTCCCAACTGCCGAATTCCCAGCCTCCAAATTCCCAGCCGCCAAATCATATTTAAGTTTCCCGCCACCTGCGAGTCCCTACTACCCTCCCTCCGACCCCTGCAACTGGCAGCCAGCCCTCCCACCAGTTGGCGAGTGTTTTGTTTGTTCATTATTTGCTATTAAACTACAGTATAAATAATGTAAACCCATTCATGACTGCATATTGGAATGGCTATTTGGACAGGTATTGGAAGGTGACATCATGTGTTTACTCTTGAACACAGCAAAGAATCAAACATTTCTGCTACTGCTAATAATAACAATAGTAATAATAGTAATAATAGTAATAATAATAATAATAATAATAATAATAATAATAATAATAAATGCGATAGAATTGAAGAAGGAAATTGTACAAAAATGCAAGGGAGTGGTTGACACATCGTCAGTGTGGCTTTGTTTATACTGGAGTGAGCATTAGTCTCCGTGCTCTTCCAAACATTTCACAATAATTCATTGTGTTTGGTGCTTGTAGATTGAGTGTGACTGGAGTGGTAGAGGAAGTGGTAGAGGCAGTGGTTGAGGAAGCAGTTGAGGCAGTGGGTAAGGCAGTGGGTGAGGCAGTGGGTGAGGCAGTGGTTAAGGCAGTGGGTGAGGCAGTGGGTGAGGCAGTGGGTGAGGCAGTGGGTGAGGCAGTGGGCAAGGCAGCGGTTGAGGCAGTGGGTGAGGCAGTGGGTGAGACAGCAGTTGAGGCAGTGGTTGAGGCAGTGGGTGAGGCAGTGGTTGAGGAAGCAGTTGAGGCAGTGGGTGAGGCAGTGGGCGAGGCAGCAGTTGAGGCAGTGGGTGAGGCAGTGGGTGAGGCAGTGGGTGAGGCAGTGGGTGAGACAGTGGGTGAGACAGCGGTTGAGGCAGTGGGTGAGGCAGTGGGCGAGGCAGCAGTTGAGGCAGTGGGTGAGACAGAGGATGAGGCAGTGGTTGAGGCAGTGGTATTTAATAACAAACATGTTAATAATAATAAGAAGAAATGTTAATAATATGTATTATTATTATTTATAACATGTTATTAAATACCACTGCCTCAACTGCTGCCTCCACCATTGCCACAACCGCTGCCTCAACCCCTGCCTAAACCGCTGCCTCTACCAGCGCCTCAACCGCTGCCTCAACCACTGTCTCAAACGCTGCCTCAACCACTGCCTCACCCACTGCCTCACCCACTGCCTCAATCATTGCCTCCACCACTCCAGTCGCACTCAATCTACAAGCATCAAACACAGTGAATTATTGTGAAATGTTTGGAAGAGCACAGAGACTAATGCTCACTCCAGCATAAACAGAGCCACACTGACGATGTGTCAACCACTCCCTCGTACTTTTGTTCAATTTCCTTCTTCAATTCTATCGCATTTATTATTATTATTACTATTGTTATTATTAGCAGTAGCAGAAATGTTTGATTCTTTGCTGTGTTCAAGAGTAAACACATGATGTCATCATCCAATACCTGTCCAAATAGCCATTCCAATATGCAGTCATGAATGTGCTTACATTATTTATACTGTAGTTTAATAGCAAATAATGAACAAAAAAAACACTCACCACACTGAGTGGTGGGAGGGCTGGCTGCCAGTTGCGGGGTCGGAGGGAGGGTAGTAGGCACTCGCAGTGGTTGAGGAAGTGGTGGAGGCATTGGTGGAGGCAGTGGTATTTAATAACATACATGTTATTAAACCATAACATGTATGTATTTAGTACAATTTACGACATTTTCACGTATTTTATGATTGTTCATGGTTCAACAAGTTAAGAAAGCAGTATTGTATTGTATTATATTTCCCTACAATATTTTGGGGCACCAAACATTCGCAATTTTTCAACATTCGCGAGGCTCTTGATCCCCAAACCCTCGCGAATGTTGAGGGAGACCTGTATTTCCTTCTTCACATCTATGGTGTTTCTCACTTTCTTTACCACAGGGGCACCACTAGCAAGTTTCCTTGGGCCCATGGCAGCTTATTTCACAGTCCCACAAGCACTAAACACAATGAAATAACCGTAAAATGCGTGAATGAGAGCGCAGGTTAGTGTTCACTCAAGCATAAACACAGCTAGACTGCTCACGATGCCTGCATGGGGACGCGGACAGAGCGGGCCGGCAGACAGGTCCCGTACCCGGCGGTCCGAAAATAGGGGCGCATTCGATAATAGGGACACAGTTTGTCTGAAAAAATGGTCCTATTTTCGAAACGTTTGATATGTGATACGTTCGATTTTTGAGGTTCCACTGCACCTCCTTGGCGGTTGCTGTCTACCAACCTACTACCTATAATGACAGTAATTTTCTTTCTTTCAACACACCGGCTGTGTCCCACCAAGGCGGGGTGGCCCAAAAGGAAAAATGAAAGTTTCTCCTTTTACGTTTTGTAATATATACAGGAGAAGGGGTTACTAGCCCCTTGCTCCTGGTATTTTAGCCGCCTCTTACAACACGCATTGCTTATGGAGGAAGAATTCTGTTCCACTTCCCCATGGAGGTAAGAGGAAATAAACGAGAACAAGAACTAGTAAGAAAATAGAAGAAAACCCAGAGGGGTGTGTATATATATGCTTGTACATGTATGTGTAGCATGACCTAAGTGTAAGAAGAAGCAGCAAGACATACCTGAAACCTTGCATGTTTATGAGACAGAAAAATGGACACCAGCAATCCTACCATCATGTAAAACAATTACAGGCTTCCATTTTACACTCATTTGGCAGGACAGTAGTACTTCCTTGGTGGTTGCTGTCTACCAACCTACTACCTATAAAGACAGTAATATAGTTAATATGATTATTGCTATTACATATACTATTTTATGAATATATACAGTAACATTTATCTATAAAATGCAAAAACTTAGGATATACAGTATATAACAGCTGATAGATTTATGCATAAACAAGATTAGATATAGGGTACAGTATATGTCAAAGGAGATGTTTTTGACTGAAAATACAGATATGTAATTGGTATCAGAGGTAGGTTATCTTGATTTGTTTTTTACATATTTGATAATTACATTATTCATAAACTTACGTGATTACACCATCTTTATCTTCATTTTCATTATCATCTTCCAAATCATCATTTGAAATTAACTGTGACTGGGGAAACAGTTGTATTTTACTCTGAGCTTGCTTTTCATCTGTAGTTTTCTGGAGGTCTAACAGTGGCTGAAGAACATTATCTTCCTCCTCTTCACTGTCTTCACTTTTATTCTACAGGTAAATTAAACAATGTTTAAGCACAAGAATGTGGCATAGTGTTGGAAAGACACTTTGCAGAGCTAGCTTCCGTTAGGACAACATTATGATCTTTTAGGACCTTTATCACGCCATGACTTAATGCAGATCTTAACAGATCAAGACATTGTCCCAATTAAAGTTTCCTGTGCAGAATGTCTTTTCTTCACAACTGATGGCAGAATGCCATTTAATTGCATAGCCTAGTGCTATAAAGCTACAATTCAAATGAATTAACAATAAAATGAGTTTAAGTGAATCTTTGCTGCCAATTAACCCGTAAACGGTCCAAGCAGATCTACGCTCATATGCGTAGTGCTCCAAAAGTAGATCTACGTTTTTTTTTACATATTTTCAAATATAACAAAAAAAAATGTAGATCAAAGTTTTTTTACACGTTTTCAAATGTAAAAAAAAAAAAAGATCTACTTTTTTTACATACTTTCAAATGTTGAAAAAACGTATTTATACGTTTGGACCGTTTATGGGTTAAGGAACTGGGATTGTAAATTAATATTGAAATGAATATAATAAATAAATAACTGTAATGAACTTATATAGATTTTAAGAAATTTATGTGTGTCAATATTCAAGGGAAAGCAAGTTATAAGAATAGAAGCTGATAGTGAGACTGTTAGCTCTAATAAATAATGTTTCCACACAAAACACAACACACTCTAACTTGGATTATTATTATTATTATTAATTATTATAATTATGATTATAATATTCATAATAATGAGTTAACTTTCCATCAAAATGATGGAGAAAAAATACAGAGAATGAATAAACAGATTAATGAGAATCCATGGCATGTGACTGTCTTCTGTAAGATTCAACCCTACTGTATATTGGGGGGAAGGTGTTTAGGCTACATGGCAATAGATATAACACAATTCAGAATAAATACTGACTCTGGCTTTGTTTCCATGATGGAAGTTTCCAAGATCAATGTAGACTGCATCCTTATCATATACTACGCCACCTACTCCTGACATTGGTGCATATGTCAGTCTCTCCTTGGCATTAAGTGACCTTTTCTTCAATTGTTCAGGAAGTGGACATGGGTCAGGTAAGTAGCTAAGGTCTTTTATCTTACAGTCTCCACAACCTGACAATAATTCAGTTTATTAAGTCTGACAAAACCTTCATGTTTATTATCTTGTGAAATTAAATATAACTAAGAAAATATGTTTTTAATATTTACATACATGCAGAAACAAGAAGCAACAGTAGGAATTAGGATAAGAGTTATGGACAGTTTGACCTAAGATACAAAAAAGCAGTCGGCTTCATTAAAAAAAATACCGAAACCTGCCAATTTGGTATGAATGTAAAACAACTGTTAGAAGCTGGAGGTGGGATGCCAACAACAAAAAAAAAACAAAGGTAGTAAAAAAAAAAAAAGTACTTTAAAAGTGCCCACTTGGATTCCTCTGCAACAAATGTGTTGTTTTATCAATGTAATGCACCCATGAGTGAAATGTACCAATTAAAAACTCCACTGCAACTAGGGTTATCTTCACCAGCATAACACACCACTGCAACTGGTGTCATTTTTCCCAATACATCCTACTCATGGGTGAAACATTGTATTAATAATGGTTGCCACTGTAACTGTCTTATTTAACAATATAAATATTTAGTTGTAGCTACAGTTAGAGTAAGAGGTAGATGGGAAAAGAAGAAAATGGCAACAACAAGTAAGAGGGAGGTGAAAGTGTATAAACTAAGGGAGGAGGAAATTTGGGTGAGATATAAACAACTATTGGCAGAAAGATGGGCTGGTGCAAGCATGAATAGTGGGGGGGTTGAAGAGGGTTGAAATAGTTTTAAAAATGCAGTATTAGAATGTGGGGCAGAAGTTTGTGGTTATAGGAGAGTGGGTGCAGGAGGAATGAGGAGTGATTGGTGGAATGATGAAGTAAAGGGTGTAATAAAAGAGAAAAAGTTAGCTTATGAGAGGTTTTTACAAAGCAGAAGTATTATAAGAAGAGTAAAGTATATGGAGAGTAAAAGAAAGGCAAAGAGAGTGGTGACAGTGCAAAAGGAGAGCAGATGATAGAGTGGGAGAGGCACTGTCAAGAAATTTTAATGAAAATAAAAAATTTTGCAGTAAGTTAAACAAGTTAAGAAAGCCTAGAGAACGAATGGATTTGTCAGTTAAAAACAGAGTAGGGGAGTTAGTAGATGGGGAGATGGAGGTTTTGGGTAGATGGCAAGAATATTTTGCGGAACTTTTAAATGTCGACGAAGAAAGGGAAGTGGTAATTTCATGCACTGGCCAGGGAGGTATACCATCTTTTAGGAGAGAAGAAGAACAGGATGTGAGTGTGGGGGAGGTGCATGAGGCATTACATAGAATGAAAGGGGGTAAAGCAGCTGGAACTGATAAGATCATGACAGAAATGTTAAAAGCAGGGGGATATATAATGTTGGAGTGGTTGGTATTTTTGTTTAATAAATGTATGAAAGAGAGGGGAAGGTACCTAGGGATTGGCAGAGAGCATGTTTAGTCCCTTTATATAAAGGGAAGGGGGACAAAAGAGACTGTAAAAATTATAGAGGAATAAGTTTACTGAGTATACCAGGAAAAGTGTATGGTAGAGTTATAATTGAAAGAATTAGAGGTAAGACAGAATGTAGGATTGTGGATGAGCAAGGAGGTTTCAGAACTGGTGATGATTGATGGGATGGGAGAAGGGGAGACTGTGGATGGTGTTAATGTTTAGAAGGGAAATCCCCTTCCATTAGGACTTGAGGTGGCAAGTCCTTTTCCGGGGTTACTTCCCTTCTTCTTTTAATGCCACTAGGACCAGCTTGAGAGTCACTGGACCTGTCGCACAACATATCTGTCCATAGAGGCCTGTACCTCCCGTTCCTTTATGACATTCCTAAAGTATTTCACAACACTGTCAGTGTAATAGTCACCAGCACGGCTTGCAATAGCTGTGTGAGGGTGATTTTCATCAAAAAAGGTTTGCACTTTAAGCCACATTGCACACATTTCCTTAATCTTTGAAGTAGGCAACTTCTTCAATTTCTCTATCCCCTCCTCCGAAGCAGTTTCCTCAGGTGTGGCCTCTTGCTGTTGAAGATGAACTAGCAGCTCATCAGTGGTTAGTTCTTCATTGTCCTCCTCCACCAACTCTTCCACATCCTCCCCACTAACCTCCAACCCCAAGGACTTCCCCAATGTCACAATGGATTCCTCAACTGGCATAGGATTTCCAGGGTTAGCCTCAAACCCTTCAAAACCCCTTTTGTCTACACATTCTGGTCACAGTTTCTTCCAAGCAGAGTTCAAGGTCCTCTTAGTCACTTCCTCCCAAGCCTTACCTATAATGTTTACACAACTGAGGATGCTAAAGTGATCTCTCTAAAACTCTCTTAGAGTCAACTGAGTTTCTGAGGTCACTACAAAGCACCTTTCAAACATAGCTTTTGTGTACAGTTTCTTGAAATTGGAAATGACCTGCTGGTCCATGGGCTGCAGGAGAGGAGTGGTATTAGGAGGCAAAAACTTGACCTTAATGAAGCTCATTTCCACAGAAAGTCGCTCTGCCATGTCTGAAGGATGACCAGGAGCATTGTCTAATACCAGGAGGCACTTAAGGTCTAATTTCTTTTCAATTAGGTAATTTTTCACAGTGGGGGCAAATGCATGGTGTAACCAGTCATAGAAAAAGTCCCTAGAGACCCATGCCTTACTGTTTGCCCTCCACAGCACACACAAATTAGCCTTGAGGGCATTGTTTTTCCTGAACACTCTGGGAATTTCAGAGTGATACACCAATAAAGGCTTCACTTTGCAATCACCACTAGCATTGGCACACATCAACAGAGTAAGCTTGTCTTTCATAGGCTTATGTCCTGGGAGTGCCTTTTCCTCCTGAGTAATGTAGGTCCTGCTTGGCATTTTCTTCCAAAACAGGCCTGTTTTGTCACAATTAAACACTTGTTCAGGTTTCAGTCCTTCACTGTCTATGTACTCCTTGAATTCCTGCACATATTTTTCAGCCGCTTTGTGGTCCGAACTGGCAGCCTCACCATGCCTTATCACACTATGTATGCCACTACGATTCTTAAATCTCTCAAACCAACCTTTGCTGGCCTTAAATTCACTCACATCACCACTAGTTGCAGGCATCTCCCAAAATCTCTCTCTCTCCTCTACATTCCTCTCTTCTCCAGGTGCATACACGTTTATTATGACCCACTTTTCGCATCCAACCTTTACTTTAATCCACATAATCCTTGAATTTACACATTCATATTCTCTTTTCTCCTTCCATAACTGATCCTTCAACATTACTGCTACCCCTTCCTTTGTTCTAACTCTCTCAGATACTCCAGATTTAATCCCATTTATTTCCCCCCACCGAAACTCCCCTACCCCCTTCAGCTTTGTTTCGCTTAGGGCCAGGACATCCAACTTCTTTTCATTCATAACATCAGCAATCATCTGTTTCTTGTCATCCACACTACATCCACGCACATTCAAGCATCCCAGTTTTATAAAGTTTTTCTTTTTCTCTTTTTTAGTAAATGTTTACAGGAGAAGAGGTTACTAGCCCATTGCTCCCGGCATTTTAGTCGCCTCATACGACACGCATGGCTTATGGAGTAAGGATTCTTTTCCACTTCCCCATGGACAATAGAAGAAATAAAGAAGAACAAGAGCTATTTAGAAAAAGGAGAAAAACCTAGATGTATGTATATATATATATATATATATGCATGTGTGTGTCTGTGAAGTGTAACCAAAGTGTAAGTAGGAGTAGCAAGATATCCCTGTTATCTAGCGTGTTTATGAGACAGAAAGAGACACCAGCAATCCTACCATCCTGTAAAACAGTTACAGGTTTCTGTTTCACAGTCATCTGGCAGGACGGTAGTACTTCCCTGGGTGGTTGCTGTCTACCAACCTACTACCTACAGACAAAAAACGTTATCTATGGAGGAAAAGAAGGGAATGTATGAAAGTATAGTAGTACCAACACTCTTATATGTATGAAAGTATAGTAGTACCAACACTCTTATATGGGTGTGCAGCTTGGGTTGTGAATGCAGTAGCGAGGAGGTGGTTGGAGGCAGTGGAGATGTCCTGTTTAAGGGCAATGTGTGGTGTAAATATTATGCAGAAAATTCGGAGTGTGGAAATTAGGAGGTGTGGAGTTAATAAAAGTATTAGTCAGAAGGCTGAAGAGGGGTTGTTGAGGTGGTTTGGTCATTTAGAGAGAATGGATCAAAGTAGAATGACATGGAGAGTGTATAAATCTGTAAGGGAAGGAAGGTGGGGTAGGGGTTGTCCTCGAAAAGGTTGGAGGGAGGGGGTAAAGGAGGTTTTTTGGGCGAGGGGGTTGGACTTCCAGCAAGCGTGCATGAGCATGTTAGATAGGAGTGAATGGACACAAATGGTCTTGGGACCTGACGATCTGTTGGAGTGTGAGCAGGGTAATATTTAGTGAAGGGATTCAGGGAAACTGGTTATTTTTATATAGCTGGACTTGAGTCCTGGAAATGGGAAGTACAATGCCTGCACTCTAAAGGAGGGGTTCGGGATATTAGCAGTTTGGAGGGATATGTTTGTGTATCTTTATAGGTATATGCTTCTAAGCTGTTGTGTTCTGAGCACCTCTGCAAAAACAGTGATTATGTGTGAGTGAGGTGAAAGTGTTGATTGATGATGAAAGTATTTTTGGGGGGGGATTTTCTTTTTCTGGGTCACCCTGCCTCGGTGGGAGACGGCCGACTTGTTAATAAAAAAAAAATAATGCAAGAGCACTATCGACAAACAAGGCAAAGTGAAAGCAGTTTACTATGGAAACGTACATGGAGTGCTTTACAACTGGCTTATTAAACAGCCGTAATATTCCAGTGGATGGTTTTCTTAAGTGTGGTAATACTAGTGGTTCCCTGTGATACTACAAATACCAGTGACTAATTATTTTTATTTTACAAATGTCCAGTCACTCAAATTATAATGTATTATTTATGAAAGAAATCAATAAACCTTGTCAAAAATAATATATTTACTTTCAGTTAGTTACTTAATTCAAAATCATTATTATATTTATAGAGTACTAAACTAGTGTGCTTAATTCAATAATGCATATTTATGGGATAAGCACTAAACCCACAGGGGTCAAATAGCCCCTGGGGAATGGGAGGCAATCAGGTCTGATCATAGAAAGAGAACAGTACCTCCAATTTCCTGGATCAAAAACCCTCTCTAGTATGAAAGTGTTAATAAATTTTACCTGGAATATGGACCATTTGGGATTTCTGGAAAGGTATGCCACGTACATAACCGTATAGCACAACATCCCGGTCACACTTAGGGTTAATCCTGACAGTCTCAGGATTGGTGATATCTTCATATCTATCAACTGGAAAACAAAATCAGTACAATTAAGAGGTAAAAATATATGAGAGAAGGGCATTCATAACACTTACAAATTTATTCTGAAACTCCCTCACTGAAGCACAAGTTATAATTTTAATTCCTCCCTTTCATTTCCACTTTATTATACAGTAAGTTCTCTTATAAAGCTCTTCCATAGAGTACAATTTTTTATTAATGGCACTGAAAAAAAGCACATCCAAAGCTGAATAGCAATTGAAATAGTCTTCGTGATAAATGCTTTTCAAATTTTAATGCACTTTTTCAATTGTATTTGCAAAAATCACACTAGACAATAGTTTTATACAAACTGACTGACTTTTTCAAGTGAATGACAAACATTAAAACAATTTAGCATATTTATGTACAGATGGATGATACAACATTTATGCATCATAATAAGCCATTAGAACTGTATAATCTAAATCTCAACAAATGTAGATTTAATTTTGACAATACAATACAACCTGTTTGATCAGGCACTTCTGCAAGAACTTACTTTATTCTGGCATTTTTTTTTTTTTAACAAACTGGCCATCTCCCATCGAGTGACCCAAAAAAGAAGAAACACTTTCACCATCACTATCTTGCCAGAGGGGCACCAATACAGTGGTACATTGACTTACGACTGCCCAACTTACGAGTTTTCCGAGTTACGAGCTGTCGCTCGGTTGATTTTTTGCTTTGAGTTCTGACCCAAAATCTGAGTTACGAGCAAGCTTCAGATACACCGCCACTAGTTGGCGCAACGAACGCCACAACATCCGCCCAGCATCAAAGCGTTTTGTGCATTTATTTTGCCAAATTTCTTTTTTCTAACCATGGTTCCTAAGAAAGTAACTGCAAAGGACAGTACTGAGAAGAAGAGGATGATGATGTCCATTGAATTAAATCACAAAATCATAGAAAAACACAAGAAAACTGCATTTGTTTCAGTGTTTTCCTTATGAAACTAGTGATCTAGTGCAGTTAGCCTCACAAACACTGTTTTCTTTTACAATAAGATCACAGAAGGGCAAGAATGGGAAGACATGGTCAGAGCAATAATTATTTTTACCTCGGGAGTGGCCGCCACCACTCGTCACATAATGACATATTTTATTCATTCTAGAGTATGTATCATGTTTCTATGTTATTTATATTGTTTATTATGTCATATTAGATCAAATGTGATAGATAAATAAGACATATATTAGTTGATATTAGCGTTATATTGTAGTATTTTCTCCTGCCTCCTGAGAGATATGAATTCATCTGGAACAGATTAATGGCATTTCAATTAATTTCAATGAGAAAAATTGAGTTGATATACAAGCAAATTGAGTTATGAGCTTGGTCCCGGAATGAATTAAACTCGTACGTCAAGGTACCACTGTACTACAGTTAAAAACTACAAATACCCTCTTCCCTCCTTCAGAGTGAAGGCACTGGCAATATTTCTTACAAACGGTTATAGAAGACTGAAGAGTTTAGGACATAAGAAGCTGACAAAGTGTGCTCTAACTATGCTTAGGTATCCCTACTTTTCAATGGCTATATTCTACAACTTCTCCAGTATGTCTTGCTTTACTAAGCTTTTCTTTTACTGTACAAATTAGGTTCCTGGCATTCAAGTATCTTCCATGTACAATTTAAATCCTGATATAACTTTTTATCTCTATGTGAGAGAGAGAAAATTCCAAGTACTTTAAGATGATCCTAGTAATTAAATATTTTACTAATATCACAGCCATTAAATAATTTCTATACATTCTTGCTCTGATATCTCATCTGCCTTGAAAAGAGAGGCAAGGACAGAATATTATTCTCAACAGGAGAGTATATGTAAATGCATTTAAGAGTAAATAGACCCATACCATAATTGGTATTTTTTTTACCATATCAGCCATCTTTCACTGAAGTAGAGTGACTCAGAAAAGAGGGAACACATTCTCTGTCACTCATTTAATCCCTGTCTTGCCAGAAACATGCAGTCATCACAGTTCAGCTGACCGTCCAAGCTGTGGCATCTCTTATTTTGAAAGTTTTCATAATCCAACCAGTAACTCTCATGGAAGGAAGGAGTGCCTTCAAAACAATATGTTTGGTGCTGGATGGCTTGAAGGCTTTTAAAAGTAGTTAGCATCGTAACATAAGGTTTAGCATGGAGTGTGCATCAGCTGATCACAGAGCTGCATGGAGTTACCCTGCTAACATTGTGTAAACTAGTTCTGAGAATGGCTACAGTTCCAAACAAATGTTTAATGCTGACAAGACAGGGCCAATCTTGGTAGTAGGTTGGTAGACAGCAACCACCCAGGGCGGTATTACCATCCTGCCAATTGAGCGTGAAATGGAAACCTGTAATTGTTTTACGTGACAGTAGGATTGATGTTGTCTTTTTTCTGTCTCATAAGCATGCAAGGTTTCAGGTACGTCTTGCTACTTCTACACACACATGCATTACACATGTATGTACGTTACACATGCATGTACAAGCATAGATATACACACCCTTCTGGCTTTTCTTCTATTTTTTTACTAGTTCTTGTTCTTGTTTATTTCCACTTATCTCCATGGGGAAGTGGAACAGAATTCTTCCTCCATAAGCCATGTGTGTCGTAAGAGGCGACTAAAAATTCTGGGAGCAAGGGGCTAGTAACCTCATCTCCTGTATAAATTACTAAATTTAAAAAGAGAAACTTTCGTTTTTCTTTTTAGGTCACCCTGCCTAAGTGGGATATGGCCGGTTTGTTAAAAAGACAGGGCCATTTTAGAAGCATATGCTGACAAAAATGCACAATAGGGTTTACTTTATACAATGATTATTTCTATTCCTTATAATTTTTTATTAAGATTCATTTAATGTTTGTATTAAAAGGTATGATTGACATATTTTAAAACAAAATATATGGAACTACATGTTAAAAGAGTGAAGGTAAATGTGGTAATAAATATGTAATTGCAATGCTTCAAAGCAACTTTAAATAAAAAAATTAAAATAAAAAAGATAAAAAAATTTCATATATGAGAATGTAATACTATTACAAGAACAAAAATATATAATATTTACTATTCACCAATAACTAATTCAGCAATAATTTTTAAAAAATTTTAAATTAAATACAAAACAGATAATCGCTTTTATCTAGGAACAGAATAAGACTGGAATGTTACAGGAACACAGACAGAGGTAGAACACACCAGATACAGCTACGGAAAGTAGCGTGGGCATCTTTTTTAGCAGCAGCAGTAAGCCATAACAGTAGTTTAAAAGTACCATCAGATGTTCATGGTAAAATTACTGATACTGAGATTTGAAATGAAGCAGATTTCAAGTATGGCTTAATTTCATTCATCCCCATAAAGGAGGGATAGCTTACCAAGGACAAAAGGATGAGAAGTACGCCATATCAAGGGACGGAACTTCAGCACAGAAATAAAGCGCCCTAGATTCTTCATTTCATTTTTCAGGTACTCATCACGGATTAGACCTGACAATAATAATTAACATCAAATTAAAATGAACATCTAGGTACTAAAAGTATCTTAAAAAAAATTATTAAGTTTTCCATTGGTAATAAGAGCATACATATTCAAATGGTACAAATACTGTAGCTTTTAAAACATACAGTTTGCAAATTAATGCATCTTTGATTATTAAATATTACTACAATAGATATATACAATAATCAAAGCCCTTCAGTGAAGGATGACATGATTAACATTAATACAGCCTCTCCTCACTTAGCGATGTACTCTTTTACCGATGACTTGGACTTACGACAGGCTCTCTGACCAGTATGAATACCTAAATAATGTATATTAGAGCTGATTTCCTCTATTCTGTTTATTACAATATAGAGTACACTACTATATAAACATTTAAAATTATACTAAAAATGTTATAAATGGTGCAAAGGTGACATTAAAACAATGTCAAAGACTGACACAAACCCACTACCTTGCTTAGCGACGAATTTGTTTACCAATGTGGTCTTAGGTACGGAGCTCCGTCGATAAGTGAGGAGAGGCTGTAATGTATATCTAAAACATAATAGTCTCTCAGGTTTTTAATAATAATAGATACAGAAAATCTGTTTTAACAAGTATTGGCAGCAACATTTCACAACCACTCCTCAAATACATTTAATAATTTCAATAAACATTTGCTAATCAGCATAATGTTTTTAATGAAAACATGAAAACTTTCTTGTTCATTTACTCCTTCAAAACATTTTTTTTTCTCAACAAGTCAGCCATCTCCCACCGAGGCAGGGTGACCCAAAAAAGAAAGAAAATCCCCAAAAAGAAAATACTTTCATCATCATTCAACACTTTCACCTCACTCACACATAATCACTGTTTTTGCAGAGGTGCTCAGAACACAACAGCTTAGAAGCATCTACATATAAAGATACACAACATATCCCTCCAAACTGCTAATATCCCGAAACCCCTCCTTTAGAGTGCAGGCATTGTACTTCCCATTTCCAGGACTCAAGTCCGGCTATATAAAAATAACCGGTTTCCCTGAATCCCTTCACTAAATATTACCCTGCTCACACTCCAACAAATCATCAGGTCCCAAGACCATTTGTGTCCATTCACTATCAAATACGCTCATGCACGCCTGCTGGAAGTCCAAGCCCCTCGCCCACAAAACCTCCCTTACCCCTTCCTTCCAACCTTTTCGAGGACGACCCCTACCCCGCCTTCCTTCTCCTACAGATGGAAATGCTCTCCATGTCATTCTACTTTGATCCATTCTCTCTAAATGACCAAACCACCTCAACAACCCCTCTTCAGCCTTCTGACTAATACTTTTATTAACTCCACACCTTCTCCTAATTTCCACACTCCGAATTTTCTGCATAATATTTACACCGCACATTGCCCTTAGACAGGACATCTCCACTGCCTCCAACCGCCTCCTCGCTGCTGCATTCACAACCCAAGCTTCACACCCATAAAAGAGAATTGGTACTACTATACTTTCAAACATTCCCTTCTTTGTCTCCATAGATAACGTTTTTTGACTCCACATATACCTCAACACACCACTCACCTTTTTTCCCTCATCAATTCTATGATTAACCTCATCCTTCATAAATCCATCCGCCAACACGTCAACTCCCAAGTATCTGAAAACATTCACTTCTTCCATACTCCTCCTCCCCAACTTGATATCCAATTTTTCTTTATTTAAATTATTTGATACCCTCATCACCTTAATCTTTTCTCTGTTCACTTTCAACTTTCTACCTTTACACACACTTCCAAACTCATCCACTAACCTTTGCAATTTTTCTTTAGAATCCCCCATAAGCACAGTATCATCAGCAAAAAGTAACTGTCAATTCCCATTTTGTACAGTGGACCCCTGGTTTACGACCAGCTCCCAGTGCGACCAATTATGTAAATGTATTTATGTAAGTGCGTTTGTATGTGTATGTTTGGGGGTGTGAAATGGACTAATCTAATTCACAATATTCCTTATTTGAACAAATTCGGTCAGTACTGGCACCTGAACATACTTTTGGAATGAAATAATATCGTAAACCGGGGGTCCACTGTATTTGATTCCCCATAATTTAATCCCACCCATCTCCCGAACACCCTAGCATTTACTTCTTTTACAACCCCATCTATAAATATATTAAACAACCATGGTAACATTACACATCCCTGTCTAAGACCTACTTTTACCGGGAAGTAGTCTCCCTCTCTTCTACACACCCTAACCTGAGCCTCACTATCCTCATAAAAACTCTACAGCCTTTAGTAACTTACCACCTATTCCATATACAGTGGACCCCCAGTTAACGAACTATTTTCATTCCAGTAGTATGTTCAGGTGCCAGTACTGACCGAATTTTTTCCCATAAGGAATATTGTGAAGTAGATTAGTCCATTTCAGACCCCCAAACATACACGTACAAACGCACTTACATAAATACACTTACATAATTGGTCGCATTTGGAGGTGATCGTTAAGCGGGGGTCCACTGTACTTACAACATCTGCCACATTGCTCCCTTATCCACTCTATCATATGCCTTTTCTAAATCCATAAATGCAATAAAAACTTCCCTACCTTTATCTAAATACTGTTCACACATATGCTTCAATGTAAACACTTGATCTACACATCCCCTACCCACTCTGAAACCTCCTTGCTCATCCGCAATCCTACATTCTGTCTTACCTCTAATTCTTTCAATTATGACCCTACCATACACTTTTCCTGGTATACTCAGTAAACTTATTCCTCTATAATTTTTACCATCTCTTTTGTCCCCCTTCCCTTTACATAAAGGGACTATACATGCTCTCCACCAATCCCTAGGTACCTTCCCCTCTTTCATACATTTATTAAACAAAAGTACCAACCACTCCAACACTATATCCCCCCTTGCTTTTAACATTTCTGTCATGATCCCATCAATTCCAGCTGCTTTACCCCCTTTCATTCTATGTAATGCCTCACGTACCTCCCTCACACTTACATTCTGCTCTTCTTCACTCCTAAAAGATGGTATACCTCCCTGGCTAGTGCATGAAATTACTGCCTCCCTTTCTTCCTCAACATTTAAAAGTTCTTCAAAATATTCTCGCCATCTACCTAGTACCTCCATCTCCCCATCTACTAACTCCCCTACTCTGTTTTTAACTGACAAATCCATACGTTCCCTAAGCTTTCTTAACTTATTTAACTCATTCCAAAATTTTTTCTTATTTTCATTAAAATTTCTTGACAGTGCCTCTCCCACTCTATCATCTGCTCTCCTTTTGCACTCTGTCACCACTCTCTTCACCTTTCTTTTACTCTCCATATACTCTACTCTTCTTATAACACTTCTGCTTTGCAAAAACCTCTCATAAGCTAACTTTTTCTCTTTTATCACACCCTTTACTTCATCATTCCACCAATCACTCCTCTTTCCTCCTGCCCCCACCCTCCTATAACCACAAACTTCTGCCCCACATTCTAATACTGCATTTTTAAAACTATTCCAACCCTCTTCAACCCCCCCACTACTCATCTTTGCACTAGCCCACCTTTCTGCCAATAGTCGCTTATATCTCACCCGAACTTCCTCCTCCCTTAGTTTATACACTTTCACTTCCCTCCTACTTGTTGTTGCCACCTTCCTCTTGTCCCATCTATCTCTTACTCTAACTGTAGCTACAACTAAATAATGATCCGATATATCAGTTGCCCCTCTATAAACATGTACATCCTGGAGCCTACCCATTAACCTTTTATCCACCAATACATAATTGAACAAACTACTTTCATTACGTGCTACATCATACCTTGTATATTTATTTATCCTCTTTTTCATAAAATATGTACTACTTATTACCAAATCTCTTTCTACACATAGCTCAATTAAAGGCTCCCCATTTACATTTACCCCTGGCACCCCAAATTTACCTACTACTCCCTCCATAACATTTTTACCCACTTTAGCATTGAAATCCCCAACCACAAGTACTCTCACACTTGGTTTCAAAACTCCCCATGCATTCACTCAACATTTCCCCAAATCTCTGTCTCTCATCTTCACTTCTCTCTTCTCCAGGTGCATATACGCTTACTGTAACCCACTTTTCACATCCAACCTTTATTTTACTTCACATAATCCTTGAATTAATACATTTATAGTCCCTCTTTTCCTGCCATAGCTTATCCTTCAACATTATTGCTACTCCTTCTTTAGCTCTAACTCTATTTGAAACCCCTGACCTAATCCCATTTATTCCTCTCCACTGAAACTCTCCCACCCCCTTCAGCTTTGTTTCACTTAAAGCCAGGACATCCAGCTTCTTCTCATTCATAACATCCACAATCATCTCTTTCTTATCATTTGCACAACATCCACGCACATTCAGACTTCCCACTTCGACAATTTTCAAAACATACATGTATTAATAAGCAAAATATGGTCACCATTTATGACTTATGGGCAGTTACACTATACTGAAAATTAAAATATACTGTATATAAAGAATATTGCAATACTTAATAACAAAATAAGAATTTACAGCCACTTTATAAGACATTGATAATCCTACCATTAAAATAAGTTTACAACTGTTACAAGAATCACTGGTAAAATTAGGTCCTTCAATTAAAAAAAAAATAAATTGATCAAGGCACTGTAGGTAAATGTGCTATGGAATATGGATCAACATAGAAAGTATGACTATCTTACCTGAGAGATAAAAAAGCTTAGCACCAGGGTAAAGCTCTACCTGAAATCTGTGCTTTAGTGCTTTCTTTTTCTTCTTCAGAGCCTTATTGTCCTTTAACATATCCAAATGATTTAAAATCTGTGAAAAAATAATTTAAGCTTGTGACAAATGCAGTGTTGAAAAAACAACCAAAAATAAAGATTTCTCAGTAGAAATATTAAATAAATGCTTCAGGAATGAACAGAAATGGGAATAATAAATGCCATACTTGACATATGTATGAAAATAAGTGAGGTAATGTTTCACACAATAATTCTGGATATTTCACTTACACTGTCAAGAATTCCTGAAAAATGACAAATTGCCAACAGTATGATGAATAAGACACAGTTTGCAGAGGAATCTTTATTGTAGAGGTTGGCCATCACTAATCTGGCAATAAGTAATCTGGTTCCATCAGTAATCTGACACTAATTTTGGTTAGCATAATTTAAAATTTCCACACCAACCTGCTGCTACTGTTTGGTGGTGCTACTTGTTGCATAAGTCATTCCAGTTTCTTTTTCTCCACTTATTGCTATAACCTGCTTACTTTTAGCCCTAGCCATGGTTCCAACAAATAAAAGAAATGGTTCCCATTGTGTAAAGCACATACACCATACATTGTCCATAAAAAGTGGTTTTAAAGCCACTGTCGGTCGCCATGAGCTCAGCTCACTCAGATAAGCTGTGATCGGTAAATTTGGGCCTACATATGAGAGAATAGGTCTGTGTGAGAAGTGTGCACTATATAAAAAAAATCCTGCAGCACACACCTCATAATGAGAAAAAACTGTGACCGTGGTGTAAAAGAGCGACTTTGCGGTGTATTTTTGTATGGTTTTTATGGTTGTATTCTCTGTTTTTGGTCTCATTTGATAGAATGGAAGATATATTACAGAAACAGATATGATTTTAATTGGTTTCATAACAAAAAGTATCTTGAAATTGAGCTCAAAGTAGTGGAAATGTTTGATTTTTGCTGATGTTCAAGAGTAAACAATACATGTCCAACTAGCCAGTCTAAAATGCAGTCACGAATGGTTTGACATTATTTATACAATTATTACAATAATGCAGTAGTCTGCATAACAGTAAATCTATTTTTTGTGAATAAAATTTCAAAATGGAAAGCAAGGTAATATAAAAGGAGCCTGGAGATGTGACTAATGAACAGAGAAACTGTTATTTTAGTGCCAGGAATGTCTGCATTGTTTATTCTGGACCCTATTTTGAAATTGGCCTTTTTTGAAATTTGTGTGAAACTGGCCAAATTACCAATTTCTGTCCACTTTATTGGGTAGTTGAGATAAGTGAATGGGCGGTTTCTTGTAGTCAATCAACAGAATAGAAGGAATACTAGTGAAATAACTATGAGTTTGGTAGACTGGAACAATGGAATGGGCCAAAAATAGGGCATGAAGTGGGTGAAATAGCCAATGCATAAATATCACTGTTGCATTAAGTGCATTCTAACCTAACCACTCTGTAATCCAGCAAAATCACTAATCCAGCACCCTACAGGTCTCAATGATGACGGATTAGTGATGGCCAACCTATACAATGTATCACCCCAAACTGGCTTTATCAAGTACAGTGGACCCCCGCCTTACGATATTATTTCATTCCAGAAGTCTGTTCGGGTGCCGTTAGAGACCGAATTTGCTCCCATAAGGAATATTGTGAATTAGATTAGTCTGTTTCAGACCCCCAAAAATACACGTACAAAAGCACTTACAAAAATACACTTACATAATTGGTAGAGTTGGGAGCTGATCGTAAGGTGGGGGTCCTCTGTATATCATGTACTGGATAAAGTCAAGATATGGTGAAACATACAATAAAGACTCCACTGCATTCAGTGTCTTACCTAACATTGTAGATGAAGATGAAATAATGTCACAATGTAATGGAATGTTCATTCCATTGTTTTCAGTTCTAAGTTGAAAAACCTTGCAAAATGAGAATAAAAACTTACATACAATAAATATAGTCTAAATTCTATATGTTTCTTTGGCAACAGGAACAGAAACAGATTGAAAAGTGTACCAGTGAAGTTTGATGCAGAAGTTAAATGCTGAAAGGTATGGATATGAAGACAGTATGCAGAAAATGCTTTCATTGGGATAATGTTAATCAAGTCATCATGACTTGATGAAGTTCTACTCTGAGCAAAATGTTATCCTAATGATGATTGGTTCTGCATACTGTCTTCATACCTATACTTTCGTTAAAACCAAATTACATCAGCAAAAATAATACAATTGTCTCAGGCAGTAAGAGAAAAAATATCAGTAACAAATTTTGTTAAAATTTGCTACTGATATGCATCAAGCTATTCTAAACAGTTTGGCAACATCAAACATTCAACTTACCCCCATTATGCGTGGAGTACCATGAGCTCGGCAAATCTCAAGAAATTCAAAGACTTCCATCTCAATTCCAAATGTTGCATCAATGAGCATTAGAATAACATCAGCTACTTTTGCAATATCAATCATGCAGTTGATATCATTGTTTACTTCTATAAAAGTTAACCTTCTCTTTTTACCTGGTGAAAATAAAATTGAACATTGTTAGGGCAACATATAATAAAATGAAAATAATTTTTGTCTATATGTTTTTAATACTTGACGTGCTGTTGGAGTGTGAGCAAAGTAACATATATGAAGGGGTTCAGGGAAACCGGCAGGCCGGACTTGAGTCCTGGAGATGGGAAGTACAGTGCCTGCACTCTGAAGGAGGGGTGTTAATGTTGCAGTTTAAAAACTGTAGTGTAAAGCACCCTTCTGGCAAGACAGTGATGGAGTGAATGATGGTGAAAGTTTTTCTTTTTCGGGCCACCCTGCCTTGGTGGGAATCGGCCAGTGTGATAAAAAAAAAAAAAAAAAAAAATCTTTGAGACCTTACACTCTCCAGTAACTTTCCTCAATAAAGTGGCCACAACAGATAAGCCATCAGCTCACCCCATTAGAAGTGTACCTATGGGGATGCTTCATTTCTCTCATATTCTCATGATAAAACTTCTGTATTTATTGTACTCTATGTACTTTCCTTTCCAGGATGCTGGTTGCCCTCTCATCACTCTATGCTAGGCAGCCTTTTCATTCTATTATTCACATGACAAAACAATCTCAAAATAATTATCTTAATCTACCGTATAACCCTGCAGAACTCAAAACTGGTATATGTCATGTCAAACGAAATATGGTAAACCCTTGAAGGAAGTAGGTGGCCACTAATGGTGACTGTGGTGTGAAGAGATGAGATCGCTTTGTTGTGATCATAACAATGAACAATTCTGTAAAAAACAGACATTCCAAATCAAATGACCTAGGATATTTGGTACCATATTTTTGAAATCAGTTAAATCAAGGGTTTAGAGTACTTTAGGTAAGCACAACTAAGGAACAAATTTGTTGTATTATTAGCAGACAGAGGAATGAGCCTTCAACACTCATGCTGAATGAAACACTAACATGACTTACTAGTGAGGGTTATTGAAGGAGGAATAAAATAAATCCAGTGACAAGTGAGAGTGCCACAGGCACAATTAGAGAATACTTTATCAACATCTGTGGCCCAAAACTCTTCAGTCTAATAAAAGCAATATCACAAATACTGCCAAAACAAATGTGGCAGAATAGCCACTCTCTGATGGAGATGTGAGCTAACACCAGCCTTTTTGACCAGTCAGTCAGCAAGGAAGCCTTGCATACCTGTGACCTCAAACCTGGTCACAGGTATGCCAAAAGTAATTCATGATTTACTTTTGAACAGTTTCATTTGTTTTTTTTAAACTCCTGAAGCCCAGCATAAAATTAGCCTTCCATGGCAATCACCTGGTTAGAGGCACTACTGAATAATAAGTACAAATTCATTAGACTTTTCATACTGCATCTCAATTTAACATTCAAAGCATCTTTTTCTATCCTTATATACTCAGAAAAAAATGTGGGAACATTTGCTTCATTCACACAGTTTGGGTACTTTGGTTTCTTTTACCACTCTTGAGACTCATGCAATTAGTTATGAATTACAACATTAAATGATGATATAATGTACTTTACCAGCCACAATGGTAACAGGTCCATTTATGTTGGAGAATCTTTGGTTTGTAAAATTTTTTATCAAGCATCGCAAGAGGGTCGATTTTCCAACCTTGGGCCCTCCTACAACAGCTACGATTACAGGAGGGGGTTCCAATGGTGTACGATCAACCAATGGTATGTGATGCTTTTTGGATTTAATATCTTGGGATCTGCAATTAGTATTAAATATGTTATTAAATAGAACATTATTATACTGCAATAAACACTGAAAATAAAGGAGTTAAAAGTACAATTTAATCAGTGGATTAAGCCCATAATTTTAAGTCTGCTAAATCGGCATCAAAGATTTACTGTACATAGAGTAAACCTCCTAAAGAATAAAAAGGCATAATACTGTGTCTGGAACAATACACAAATAACCCTATGTGTGGGTCATTTGTGTAGATTAAACACTTGATTCAATGAACTTCAGAAATAAAGACAAAATCTGCTGGGTCAACTGATTTGGAGCCTACAGAGAGAATTCACTGGTTAAAGAACTGTTTGTTATTGCTATGATCACTGCAAAACAATTTCATTTATCTGCCACATTCACAATTATCAGCCACCCACTTTCCCATATTAGTCTGTTAAATCAAAGGATAAATGTACTATATTTCCTCTCATTATTTTTCTGCATTTTTAACTAATTCCTTTGTAGAATTTTGTGATTTTGTCTACTGGCAGCAAATAATACATTTCATCATCATATTCTGAAATTGAAATTTTGACATCCAGAGATGTAAGTGGTATGTATCATAACCTGAATGCTAATTTTAAAGAAGTAGTTAAGAAAAACATAAAACAGATACAATGATTTTTATTCCTTACACCTTAAAATATATCTGTTAGATTTCTATACTCTGAAAAAATCATACAATGGATTATTTAAGATTATAATGGGTTTATGAGGGCATTATTAATTGAACATTCTAGAAAACAGTACACTGGAACCTCGGTTTTCGTGATTAATTCGTTACAGAAAGTCTGACAAAAACCAAATTGTATGAAAACTGAAGCAATATTTCCCAAAAGAAATAATGTAAATCCAATTAATCCATTCCAGACACCCAAAAATATTAAGAATAACTATAGTTTTACATGCAGAAAACAATGAGAAATAAATATAAATGACTAATAAAATGGATAAATAAACATTTAACATCACTTTTACCTTTATTGTTAGCATGTGGAAGACGGCGAGGTGGGGAGAGGGAGGAGGAGACGTTACTGTTTGGAAGGGAAATCCCCTTCCATAAGGATTTCAGGTATCAAGGCCCTATCTGGGGTTACTTCCCTTCATTGTCTTTTACTGGCACTAGGACCAGCTTGAGAGTCACTGGACCCCTGTTGCACAAAAAAACTGTCCAGAGAGGTCTATTTCTGGCATCTCTTTAAGATTTGCCTAAAATGGGACAAGGCACTGTCACTGAACATGTTGCAGACACGGCTTGCAACAGTTTTGTTAGGGTGATGTTTCTCCACAAAAATTTGCAACTCATTCCACTTTGCACACATGTCTTCAATCACTGAAGAAGGCACATTCTCCCCTCTCTCTTCTTCCTCTGAAGCAATTTCCTCAGCTGCGGTCTGTTGCTGCTCCAGTTGAAGGTCTTACAACTCTTCAGTGGTTAGCTCTTCCCTGTGGTCGTCCATCAATTCTTCCACATCCTTTCGCAACATCAGCTTTCTTGATTTCTTTTTTCTTCACCAGGAACTGATCATTGATGCAGACTTCCCGTACATCCTGGCAAGATTGGCCACATGTATGCCACGTTTGTACTTTGCTACGAGTTTTTTCTTGAGTTCTATCGTGTTTCACGCCTTCTTTATTAAAGGGCTGGCACACAGAACTTTCTTTGGCCCCATGGCGACTTACTTAACAGTCGCACTCAATAAACAAGCACAAAAAACAATGGATCATTATGAAATGTTATCCGAGTGCGTAGAGTAATGCTCACTCAATGAGAAACAAAGCCAGACTGAGTCAGAATGTGTAGGATACTTTGTGTGGGCACAGGCAGACGAACGCATTTGGTACGGGGGACCAATGTCAACTCTATGAAAACCAAGCAGCTGTACAAAATCTGGGACAAAATTTCGATGAAAGAGAGTCATCGAAAACTGAATCCTACAAAAACCAGGGTATACGAAAACTGAGGTTCCACTGTATATCATGGCTTCAATTGAGTGTACATAATGTACAGTATTACATATGCATTTTATCCCTACCTTACAAACTTTCTTTGAGCTTTAACTGCAGAATGAAAAGCAAAGGCCTTGGGATTGCGTTGCTGAGCTGTCAGTTCTTGAACATGTTTGTCCTTAGCAGCCTTTTTCTCTGCTTTTCGTCCTGAGTGACGATGAGCATGACCTTTCTTCTTGTCGAAATCAGCCTCCTCGCCCATTTCAGCAAACTTTTATCTGTAACACAAGTAAGGCACAGAACAAAGGGATAAAATACTGAATAATACAGTTTAAGAAGTCATACAGTATGAAACAATCTTGAAATTGTTACTTTGTAGAATTTACTTAAAATTTATCAATTAATGTGCTTACTTACAACAGGGGTTAAAAAATGTTCATATAATTTTTACATTTTTAATAATAATAATAACAATAATAATAATAATAATAAAGTATAAATAAAATAATAATAAAAGTTAATTTCTCAAACAGTGTATATGGAAAAGCATTCCAATTTTGTGAAAATCTCACAATGATAAGGATTCAGAGGCCATGAACAATTTATATAACTGTACTGCTACAATAACATCAAATAACTTAAATAACTTTGTCCTTTCATGCTTTCTCAAACATTAAAGAAGCCCCATATAAGACACATCATCATCATCATCATCATAATAATAATAATAATAATAATAATAATAATAATAATAATAATAATAATAATAATAATGATAATAATTTTTATTTGGAAATGATACATAGTTGTACAACGAAATATGGATCCCAGGTTACAACCTATACAGATGTGACAGAGTGAACAGGCAAAAGGGGGGGGGGTTGGCCTGTACACTGCAGAGTCACTTGTTTGCACAGAACTGCTTAATGCCTCAAATGATGTAGTGGAAGCTTTAGCAGTAAAGGTCGAGAACCAAAACCTAGTCATTGTGGTAGTCTACAAGCCTCCGGATGCAACATCCCAGCAATTCCAGGAACAGCTGTTAAAAATTGACCACTGTCTGGAAAATCTTCCAGCTCCTGCACCCAACATCTTGCTCCTGGGGGATTTCAACTTAAGGCACCTAAAATGGAGGAATATAGCAAATAATATTGTTGCAGTAACAACACCAGGAGGCAGCTCTGATGAAAACTCACACTCACACGAGCTTTTAAATCTCTGCACAAAATTCAATTTAAACCAGCAAATAATAGAGCCTACTAGACTGGAGAATACACTAGACCTCATCTTCACTAACAATGATGATCTGATAAGAAATGTCACCATATCAAAAACAATATACTCAGATCACAACATAATTGAGGTTCAGACATGTATGCGTGGAGCCCCAGACCGACATAATGAGACTAGTCACGAGGGAGCATTCACCAAATTCAACTTCAATAACAAAAACATAAAGTGGGACCAAGTAAACCAAGTCCTAACCGATATAAGCTGGGAAGATATACTATGCAACACAGACCCCAACTTATGCCTAGAACAGATTAACTTGGTGGCACTCGATGTATGCACAAGGCTTATTCCTCTAAGTCTAAGAAAAAGGAGGAGTAGATGTAAAATAGAAAGAGACAGGCGCTCCCTTTACAGGCGACGGAAAAGAATAACAGAGCGGCTAAAAGAGGTCAATATATCTGAAATGCGTAGGGAGACACTGGTCAGAGAAATAGCAAGCATTGAACTTAAGCTAAAGGAATCTTATAGGAGTCAGGAATCGCGGGAAGAACTAAAAGCCATAAATGAAATCGAAAGAAACCCAAAGTATTTCTTCTCCTATGCCAAATCAAAGTCGAGAACAATGTCCAGTATTGGGCTCCTACTTAAACAAGATGGGTCCTACACAGATGACAGCAAGGAAATGAGTGAGCTACTCAAGTCCCAATATGACTCAGTTTTTAGCAAGCCGCTAACCAGACTGAGAGTCGAAGATCAAAATTAATTTTTTATGAGAGCCACAAAATTTGATTAACACAAGCCTATCCGATGTTATCCTGACGCCAAATGACTTCGAACAGGCGATAAATGACATGCCCATGCACTCTGCCCCAGGGCCAGACTCATGGAACTCCGTGTTCATCAAGAACTGCGAGAAGCCCCTATCACTAGCCTTTTCCATCCTATGGAGAGGGAGCATGGACACGGGGGTCGTCCCACAGTTACTAAAAACAACAGACATAGCCCCACTCCACAAAGGGGGCAGTAAAGCAACAGCAAAAAACTACAGACCAATAGCACTAACATCCCATATCATAAAAATCTTTGAAAGGGTCCTAAGAAGCAAGATCACCACCCATCTAGAAACCCATCAGTTACACAACCCAGGGCAACATGGGTTTAGAACAGGTCGCTCCTGTCTGTCTTAACTATTGGATCACTACGACAAGGTCCTAAATGCACTAGAAGACAAAAAGAATGCAGATGTAATATATACAGACTTTGCAAAAGCCTTCGACAAGTGTGACCATGGCGTAATAGCGCACAAAATGTGTGCTAAAGGAGTAACAGGAAAAGTCGGTTGATGGATCTATAATTTCCTCACTAACAGAACACAGAGAGTAGTCGTCAACAGAGTAAAATCCGAGGCAGCTACGGTGAAAAGCTCTGTTCCACAAGGCACAGTACTCGCTCCCATCTTGTTCCTCATCCTCATATCTGACATAGACAAGGATGTCAGCCACAGCACCATGTCTTCCTTTGCAGATGACACCCGAATCTGCATGACAGTGTCTTCCATTGCAGACACTGCAAGGCTCCAGGCGGACATCAACCAAATCTTTCAGTGGGCTGCAGAAAACAATATGAAGTTCAACGATGAGAAATTTCAATTACTCAGATATGGTAAACATGAGGAAATTAAATCTTCATCAGAGTACAAAACAAATTCTGGCCACAAAATAGAGCGAAACACCAACGTCAAAGACCTGGGAGTGATCATGTCGGAGGATCTCACCTTCAAGGACCATAACATTGTATCAATCGCATCTGCTAGAAAAATGACAGGATGGATAATGAGAACCTTCAAAACTAGGGAGGCCAAGCCCATGATGACACTCTTCAGGTCACTTGTTCTATCTAGGCTGGAATATTGCTGCACACTAACAGCACCTTTCAAGGCAGGTGAAATTGCTGACCTAGAAAATGTACAGAGAACCTTCATGGTGCGCATAACGGAGATAAAACACCTCAATTACTGGGAGCACTTGAGGTTCCTGAACCTGTATTCCCTGGAATGCAGGCAGGAGAAATACATGATTATATACACCTGGAAAATCCTAGAGGGGCTAGTACCGAACTTGCACACGAAAATCACTCACTACGAAAGCAAAAGACTTGGCAGACGATGCAACATCCCCCCAATGAAAAGCAGGGGTGTCACTAGCACGTTAAGAGACCATACAATAAGTGTCAGGGGCCCGAGACTGTTCAACTGCCTCCCAGCATACATAAGGGGGATTACCAACAGACCCCTGGCAGTCTTCAAGCTGGCACTGGACAAGCACCTAAAGTCGGTTCCTGATCAGCCGGGCTGTGGCTCGTATGCTGGTTTGCGTGCAGCTAGCAATAACAGCCTGGTTGATCAAGCTCTGATCCACCAGGAGGCCTGGTCACAGACTGGGCCGCGGGGGCGTTGACCCCCGCAACTCTCTCCAGGTAAACTCCAGGTAAACATGCCAAAAGCCCCTTGTATGCAGAGCATTATGGGCAGGCTTAAAATCAACTTAAGATTAACTAAGCAATGATATATTCAGTGGTAAAAATTATAGTAAACGGATTACAACATGAAGTACAAATGAGTATTTTAAACTATGAAATGACTTCAATGCATAATACATACCAATGACCAGTAATCTCTTGTAGTATGCATTGTATATACATACACATGTTTACCTAGCTGTGTTTGGGGGAAGATCAATCTTCAGTTTTATTTCCTGGGCTCAAAATTTTAGCTTGTGAAACAGGCGAAACGTCGTGTAAATCTCCAATTGCTGCCCGTGTGTCTTTATCCACTGTAGTCTCGAACAAACAGTTTGCTACCCGGCTGCCGGGCAAATAAATACTCATTAACTTTACTCTAAAACCTACTTATGTTAATACTGGCCTCGACGTGCTTAGATAACCCAGACATCTTTCATAACTAATGGAAGGTATTCCCATCCCTGGCTGCTTAGTGGGTACCACAATTTACTCTTATTTCAGGCAATCTGTAAACTTTAGGTGCTTGGACACCATCACAGCGTCCAACAATGATGCGCACACACTCAAATATATATATAAATATTTACAATTTTTAAGACTCACAAAGAAGAAATATGGAAGAAAAGTCATGAATTCGGGAAGCACGTTGCTGTGGGATTCTTGTTGGGTTTATAAGGGTCACTGGCAGCTTGCGCCGTATTGAACCCCGTTTATTCCATACTGTATTGTGTACATCAACTATATGAAGCAATTGTAAAATATTAGATGATTAATATGATTAATATTTCCTTCTAGTGATGCAACAATGCCCAGTGAGGTCTGACAAAGGCCCTTTGTGACCTCTGCAATCCTGACACCAATGGAAATAAGGCATTTTGACTTTCAGGCATGAAAAGCTTCCATCTCATATTAGAAACAAATTAGAGTGTTTCTGAAGAAATGTTGAAACTGATTAATTTTATGAGCCAAAATATTGATGAGAGTGATTGCCTCTTCACCGAGTATGAATTAGATAATGCATTAACTAACGGTCGATCAACTGCTCCTGGATTATTATTATTATAATCAAGGGGGAAGCGCTAAACCCGGAGGATTATACAGCGTCTGGGGGGGGGGGGGTGTGGAAGGCATTCAGGCTTAATTCGGGGAACTGGAGCACAGATCCAATTCCCTAAATCAAGAGCCCCTCACCAACATCAAGAAACTTTCCTTGAGGGGCACTGCTCCTGGAGATGATGGTATAACCTATGATATTCTCAGAACTCTAAGGCACATGCCTGACAATCCTTTGTTGACACTGTATTATACCAGTTACATTGAGGGAGTTCTTCCTACTTCCTGGATCAATAGTCTCATTGTGCCTATCCCTAAGCCCCAACAGCCTGATACATTTAGACCGATTTAATTAGCTGTCTTTGTAAAACTTTTGAAAGAATGATACTTAACAGACTTAACTACAGAATCAGACACCAACTTTTTCCCCTACCTCTATGGGTTCATGAAAGGTAAAAGTGTGCAGTACTGTATTTCCACCTTTCGCACTGCACACCATATTTCTTGATCTAAAATCTGCATTTGATATCGCGAACAGAACCGTTATACTACATGAACTAGCCAAAATGAATATTGGTGGAAGCTTACTCTGCTGGATAATAGGATACCTGTCAAATAGAGTATCCTCTGTCCTCTCTCCCTGAATCCATACGTCTTGGTTGTGCCTCGTTGTGCTCCGGGTTTTTCGTGTTTTCACGGTCGCTCTTACGTGCTAGAACTTTAATTTGTGTCATCAATCCTATACGATACATCCCTCTAGCGCCTGGAACAAATCTTGGGCGGAAAACATTATATACTGAGTCAAAAAAGGAGAATTAGTGTGCACTAGCAGAGTTTACTGCCAGAGGGGAATCATAGGCCTGTCCCGTGTGGAAAAAAAAAATAATAATTGAACTTTTCATGTCAGAGGAAAGAAAGTCTCCCTGATAACATTGAGTATACATAGTGTATAGTGTATACTACAGTGGCTCCCTAGTATATTGATGATAAAGGCTAAAGTGTCATTTGAAAACAGGTGAATTTGTAAATGAAGTGATAAGCCTATAGAGGCAGGTGCCAGAAGTCGCCAGAACTTACCACAGGTCAGCTGTTTTTTTTAATAATCTTCCTGGCTTGCCAGTGTACTCGCATATAATCTAGTGATACCAGTGATTAGCAGAATACAGTGTTGTAGTAGCAACTAACCAGTATTATAATGGTACTTAGTGGAGTGGAGTGACTTTCATTAGTTTCTTTTTCTTGAAATACGAGACGTTACTGTGAATTTCATATAACCTGTAGTTACCAGCAGTCGAAATATACACAACGAGAAGCAATTATTACTACAGAAAAAGCGTCCTTCCTCCAAAATTTGCACCAGTCAACTATAGTGATAATATAGCATTTATTGTGGTGGAGACGGAAAAAAAAAAAAAAAAAAAAAAAAAAAAAAAAAAAAAAAAAAAAAAAAAAAAAAAAAGAGAAAAGCCAGATACAGCGATTGATAAACAAGGAGGTGACCGTTCGTCATTGTAGGAGCTGCCAGATATCACCGGCTCTTCAACACGCAAGTTATACTTTTGTATCAGTCAAATCACATATTACTCGGGTAGATAATTTCCAGTAGATCCTTCATGTGTTAGCTCAAATCACCGACCAGTATGTTTTTTAAAATAAGTGACCCACTGATCAGAGCAGATCGTCTGGCCCGAACCCTTGCCTGGTCCGAACCCTTGACTGGTCCGAACCCGGGACTGGTTTCAAACAGTTTCGTTGGACAATAAAGCAGACTGTAAACGGATGGGTTGTAGGCGCCCTATAAACACAAACATTAAAAATCAGGAACGTGCGGTAAGCTGTCCAATATACAAAAAGAGTTAGAAACAGAAATACAAATAGCTAGAGCTTCATTTAAGGTTATTAATAGAATTTTCAAGAGGTTGCTAGTAGAATTGCAGTAATCAACCATTCAAATCATTATGAAGCCCTGTGTAGTCTGTGGTCAGTCAAACAAACGGGCTTCCACATGGATAAATTGTCATTTTTGTGGAAATTGGTGTCACGCCCTTGTGCAGATATCCCAGAACTAGCTACAAGCAGTATTAAAACAGAGAAGTGTTTTTGGGTATGCTCAAATGAGGAAAAACTGTGGACTAAAATCACAAGGGTATTAAAGAGGACAACATCAAAGCTGCTTTCATAGAAAACCTGGAAGCTTTCTACAACAGATGGGAACATAAAATGTCTGGGCTGAATGGTACTGCCCTTGATACTGGCCATGTAGTCATAAACTGTAAGGCTGGAGGTGATGTCCTGGTAGTCAGTAAATGTGGGGCTGATAGTGCTGTCCTGGGAGACAGTAATGGTGAAGCTGGAGGTGCTGTTCCTGGAGACAGAAATGGTGAAGCTGGAGATACTGTCCTGGGAGACAGAATTGGTGAAGCTGGAGGTGCTGTCCTGGGAGACAGAAATGGTGAAGCTGGAGATACTGTCCTGGGAGACAGTAATGGTGAAGCTGGAGGTGCTGTCCTGGGAGACAGAAATGGTGAAGCTGGAGATACTGTCCGGGAGACAGAAATGGTGAAGCTGGAGATATTGTCCAGGGAGTCGGGAATTATACGCAGGAAGGAATACATAAAATGACCTCATAGGGACAGGGAGCCATAGTAGGAAAACAAGTGTAGTCAAAGATAAGATAAAACCAATATTGCAAACTAGAAATACCGCAGGAAATAGCAAACAAGAGGACTCCAATAGCAATAGTGAGGATAAATTACCAAAAACAACTGGTGGGAGCTCCATTGTTGGTGCTAGGGAGGATAGAAGTAAGACAGGGAAACATGCACCAACAGGGAATACCGTCACAGAAACCCAAGGCAAGCGGAAACCAAGACTGTGCACATACTATGCACTTGGTATCTGCTGGCATGGGAAATCTGGAAAAAACAGATGGGACATGCAACTATGACCACCCTAGAAAAATGCCATGCCCATATGAAAAACAGGAAAATGCAAAACTCCCTTCCTGTAAGCTTTTTTCACCCTGAAATGTGTACCTCTTCGTAAGGAAAGACTGTGCTATAACTTAAATTGCCAGGCATACCATCTAAGGGGACAAAAAGATACAAAACATCCAGCCAGGGGAAAACCTGGGTAGCCACAGCCACTCAAGAGGGAGAGGTTTTTAGTGCCAGGAAGGAAAAAAAACTGGCAGGAAATGGCAGAAATCGTACACCAAATCCAGTCATTCCTGGAGTGGAACCACAGTCGATGGCCTCCACTCCAAACCAACAGATACAGATACTAATGCCGGAAAAAAAAAAATCCCCCCCAGTACCAACAAAAACACCAGTCCGATAAACATTCTTCTTTGCAAATATACAGGGTCTAAAGCCAGCTACAAACAACAAAATACCTTTCATCCGTGGACTGCTTGCAGAGGCAAAGGCAATGTTCGCGGCTTTCACTGAGACCCACATAAAGGATCACTTGGACAACGAAGTAATGGATCCCAGGTTACAACCTATACAGATGTGACAGAGTGAACAGGCAAAAGGGGGGGTTGGCCTGTACATTGCAGAGTCCACTTGTTTGCACAGAACTGCTTAATGCCTCAAATGACGTAGTGGAAGTTTTAGCAGTAAAGGTCGAGAACCAAAACCTAGTCATTGTGGTAGTCTACAAGCCTCCGGATGCAACATCCAGCAATTCCAGGAACAGCTGTTAAAAATTGACCACTGTCTGGAAAAATCTTCCAGCTCCTGCACCCAACTCTTGCTCCTGGGGATTTCAACTTAAGGCACCTAAAATGGAGGAATATAGCAAATAATATTGTTGCAGAAATAACACCAGGAGGCAGCTCTGATGAAAACTCACACTCACACGAGCTTTTAAATCTCTGACTAAAATTCAATTTAAACCAGCAAATAATAGAGCCTACAAGACTGGAGAATACACTAGACCTCATCTTCACTAACAATGATGATCTGATAAGAAATGTCACCATATCAAAAACAATATACTCAGATCACAACATAATTGAGGTTCAGACATGTATGCATGGAGCCCCAGACCGACAAAATGAGACTAGTCATGAGGGAGCATTCACCAAATTCAACTTCAATAACAAAAACATAAAGTGGGACCAAGTAAACCAAGTCCTAACGATATAAGCTGGGAAGATATCTAAGCAACACAGACCCAAACTTATGCCTAGAACAGATTAACTCGGTGGCACTCGACGTATGCACAAGGCTTATTCCTCTAAGAAAAAGGAGGAGTAGATGTAAAATAGAAAGAGAAGGC